GGATGGTGAATAATGACCGTGAGTCAGACGTGTTTACCAGGGAGATCAGACAAGAGCCACATGAAGTTAACTTGTTTTGATTTCAGTCCTAGATGGAGCTAGAGCAACTATTAAGAATATTTTTGTCGAAATGATTCTGAAAATGTACCACAAGTTTAATCGTAAGCCAAGAAAAAAGTTGAATTTCGGTTCTGACTGACTTTTATCATTCTTTAAAAAAGAAAAACCGAAAAACGTATTTTTTGGTTTAGCATCTGCTTAATGAGTAGGACAGGAGCCTTTCTTGGTTCGCCCTTCAAAAGGTTTTTATTTGGGAATAATTTGCAATTTACAGAAGAGTCAAGAAGGAAGTATAAGGAAGTTTCCAGGCACCCTTCACTTGTCTTCCTCTACTGTTGACATCTTATATAACCACGGCACAGTTATCAAAATCTCAGTTTACTTTTAAATGACATTTTGGACCTAATCTCCTGAGCTCTGACAGCAGCCAAAGAAAGTTTAATAAGAAGCAGAATTTTCCACTTATTTATTTATTTAGCTAACCAGAAAGTTTAGCTGGGAAAAGGAACAGGAGCCCTATTTTAATTGTAAGCGACACCATAGTATCCTGGTTGTCTAAAGTGGCTTGGTTTAGGAACATTTTCTGTAGCCTTTGAGATGGGATTCTGGATGCTCACATAGGACCACAGATTGGCCTCCAAACTGTAGCTGCCCAAGCTGATGAGATGGTAGATATATCCGCATTTAAAAATGATGTTCAAGGAAAGACAGCATAGAGTGTAAACTGAGTGTTAGTTTGTGGGTCAAATTTGCAGCCCATTCTGGTTTTTCAGAGCACCTCTAATAGCTACTGTCCCAAACGCTCCAGTCCATCTTTTACTCCTCAGTTAGGGTCAGTGTCAGCCTGTGGTTGCATAATAAATCTGCATTTTCCCCTCCCTCGCTGAGATAGGATCTGTTCCATGAGCTGCTCTACATCAATCAAATCCCTGTTGGTCCTCGCCTCTGTGAAGCTTTCCCTGACCTCTATCTGCCCTGTCCTGCGTATGCATCCAGCCCAAATTTCTATCATTGCAAATATATTGAACTTTAATTATTGTAATTACTTGTCCGTCTTCCCCACTGAATTTGAAAACTTCTCAAGAAATGAACCATGTCTTATTTATCTCTGTATCCTTGGATTTACCTCACTCGTGGAATGTAGTAGGTACTCAACAAATGAATAAATTTGAAACTGTCCTAACATTTGTCCTACTAATCAGGAATAAGCTGACTTTCTCCTTAAAATTTTGAGCATCCTCTGGAATAAAGATACTCTAGGTAGAAATCATTAAGTCCATGTTTCTCAAAGTGTAGTTCATAGATTCCCTGTGTAAGGATCATTTGGGAGGTTGTTAAAAGGCCCTAATACAGACCCATTAGATCTGAATCTCTGGAGAACGCACCTTAGCACTATGCCTTTTAGTAAGATCTGCAGATGCTTCTAATGAGCACTGATGCTTGAGTACCACCATCTGAGGAGGAAGAGTTCCATTAATCCATCAGCTTGGTTATTTCCATCTCTTTCCATAGAGATTTTTGAAGTGAGTATAATCAATGATGTGACAATAAATTAAATGAAATAGCAACATATTAATATCAAGGAAAGGAGACTTCTTGTTGGTTTAGCACGACAGATGCTATGACTAAGCTTCAAACTGAATTCTGAGATACACGCAAGCCAGGGCAAAAAAGGAAGTACAAGGAAGTAAAATACACAGTTCTGGCTCCAGGAAGGAGCCCCCTTCCTGGAGAGACCCCCCCCTTTTTTTTTTCTCCCTAGGCACTAAATTTTTAAAGCAATTTCTCACTTAAGATGTTTTTCAGAACAGTAAGTGATGGAATCATCAATATTTTTAACAAGATTTTTGGCAAGCAGATACTTCTGTAGTGAGTAAAATATGATGTAAGGTTGGGTGGGACACGCGCTAAGGTTGCCTTGACCTTCACGTTGTTATGCTCTTTTTTTTTTTTTTGGACAAGTTAATTCTGAACTGCCCCCTTTCCCGTTTGCCAGTAAAGGCACGTCTTCATAGAGCTCCTTAGGTAAGCATCCTTCCATCACTTGTCACAGTGGGGCCAAACCAAACTTATAATCGCCAACAAGTACCAAGAATGCAGGGACAAGGCATTGCTGACTGAGGGTAGATTTATGTTCTTTGGAAGCAAGAGGAGCAGTTGGTAATGTTGACATTCTATTTGTGAAATTTGAGAAGCCTAACCAGCAATATTCTCTGGATAGAAGTCAATTAGCTTTATAACAATGTAAACAACAGGCAACAATACCGACAATGGATAGGATTTACCAAAGAGCTGCCATGTAGACACTGTGTATGTGCTATCTCAGTCCATTTCAAGAACTCCACACTGAAGTAATATTGCCCCGTTTCACAAAGAGGAAATAGACTTTCAGAGGTTACGTAAATTATCCAACTTCCCATAACTAGTAAGTGGCAGAGTCAGGATTAACACCCAGGTCTATCTGATGCTAAAGCAGGTGAATGCTCCAGAGTACTGATCTACGTAACAGAAACACAGAGAGAGAAAAGACTCAGGAATGGGGGGTTTGAGGTTTGGAGATATTAAGTACTGTATATAAACTAGATAAACAGCAAGTTTCTACTGTGTAGCACAGGGAACTATATTCAATGTCTTGTAACAACCTATAATGAAAAAGAATATGAAAACAAATATATGTATGTATATGGATGACTGAAACATTATGCTGTACACCAGAAACTGTCACAACATTGTAAACTGACTCTATTCAGTTAAAAAAAAAAAGCTTCAAAATAAAAAAAGAATAGGGTAATTAATGAAAGATGTCCTGGTCTAGGAGTTAAGACATCCAAGCATTTGGCCAACTCGGGCAAAATAGTCTTTTTTTTTTGGTTTCTAGTTTCCTTTAACTGGAAATTCAGGAACTGAGCTATAACTCCTAGGGCTCATTTCAGATTTAAAGTCTATGGTTACTCTTCTGATAGAACCAGAATTAATAAAACATCAATTCTACTTGAAATACACATTTCACTTGGCCAATGAACTTTATTGCTTCTACCTTGAAGGTACAGATGACTCACGGAATAAAGAGCTGGGATGTCTTGACAGGGGCTTAGTCCTTGCCGCTCTTGCACAGAAGTTGCATTAGTCCTGGAACTAACGTTGATAACTATTATTTGAGTGATTACTCTGTGCCAAGCACTCTTGTAAGAGCTTTACGTGTAGTATTTAAGTGTATTCTTTTGCAACATATGAGAGAGAAGGTATTATCAACCTCATTTTCCAGGAAGGGAAACTGAGCCAGAAGGTGACCAAGTTGACCTACCAGACATGACACGAGCGCTAAGTGGTGGACACAGGATTTGAACTCAGGCAGTTGACTCTAGACTCTGCCGCCTGTGTGAATAGCCTTTACACTTCGTTCCCTCCAAAAGACGTGCCCTGTACAGTGTATCCTTTGTGGAAATGAATATACTAATTAAAATGTGAAGTCATATATTTGATTTCTGAAAGGAACAAGTGAATGTTATTTTTGAATTCCATATCGCCACGGAGTCCCAGTGGTATCTCGGCAGGACTCAAAATAGCTACATTTTGAAATCAAGACCAGTGATGAGCTGGCTTTCTCTGTCTTGCACAGTGCCCGGAATATTGCTCGATGAATCTTTGTTGGATGAATCCACGCCTTAAAGAGAATGGATTTTTTCCTTTTTGTGTGTGTGTGAATGTATGTTTGAACTTGTGCATCTCATGTTATTACCTAAACAATGAAAATAAAAGCTTACTCCAAGTAGAGGAGGCATTTTTTTTCTGTCATAGTAACTTTTCATTTCAAACAATATAATGTCAATGTTGTCTTCATCAATTCTATCCTCTTAAATAATTGAAGACAAATCTTTGGAGCACATTTTTTTAACTGAAGTATAGTCTATTTACAATGTTGTGTTAATTTCTCGTGCACAGCATAGTGATTCAGTCATACAAATATATATTCCTTTTCATATTCTTTTTTATTGTAGGCCGTTACAAGGTATTGAATAGAGTTCCCTGTGCTATACAGTAGGACCTTGATGTTTAACTATTTTATATATAGTAGTTAAGAGCCCATTTTTTTCTTCAAAGCAATGAAAGAGGGCCTAACTCTTCTTGACCTTGAAGTATTGTATGTTCAGTGCTATAATCTTTATGTAACTTTTTTGTCCCTAGAGAACTTTACTGACAACTCTTCAACTAAAGGACCACCTTACTGTTGTTTTTTGAAAGCACTATGGAACTTCTTAGGTGAGACTGCAGCATAATATCCCGTAAAGTCAAAACCAGTGGGTCAAACTCTTCTTTAAGAGCATGCACCCTATTAATCATGCAGGTTTAATTTTCCCCTTGGTAGCCCCCAGGGATATCAAAGGTTTATGCCTCTTTCCTTTCTTTGGTTTTTAAATACACAATGTACTCATGACAGCAAGTTAAACCTGTTAGTGGCATCAAGTAGGGAGAACTGATGCCGGGAACAGGACCACTGCAAATTTTGTTAAAACTGCAATCACTGTGAACACAGCACACATTGGGGGGTTTAAATACCTCTCTCTGTGGCATTTGTCATATTAAGAGCTGCAGCATAAACAAAGGAAAAAGCAAATCAAATGTGCATAAACATGACATGATCACTTCCGCTTTTCTAGATGCCGTAAGGAAATCTGATCTCTAGGAAAGAAGACAGCCAGAAGTCTAACATTTTTGAAACCAATCCTGATCTCTTATGATTAGATCGTTTGATGTTTGCCTCTGGGACGTCATAGGTGTGTTTCTATTTGTTTTGGTCTTTGAGAATTCTACTTATGTACAGCATAGGTCTGCAAAAAGTCTTCAACAACAACAAAAAGCCTCCAGTAGACCAAGTCAGCCTTAAGATACAGGGTGAAGCCTTTCAGATTGCAGAGAAAGGGACTGACAGCAATAAAGTGCCCTGTCCAGTGATGGAGATTCTTGCGCTGAAACCACTCAAATTTGCCACATGTCTCACCTGCCCCTCTGCAAAATGCCTCTCCCAAGTGTGGGGACAGGGGTCTATTTTTGAGGCTCCTTCCAAATGGGGAGTTGTTTAAACCCAGGGAAGCCTACAGTAAGCTTCTACCTGGAAGGGCTCTGGTCTTTTCTTGGTCTGCTTCTAGGGCTCTTATCTGCAGCTTGGTACTGGTGCCAAGCCACGTCTTCCCACTGGAGATGCCAAGAATGCTTGGTTCCAGCGTCTCTTCTGCCCCATCTTTTCCTTAAGGGCTTAAAGCTCCAAGGGCAAACAAGATAATAATTGAAAACGCAATCAGCAGGGAGTTCCGTGCATTCCAACATCCATCTCTTTCAACTTGGGTTTCAAGTATTCTACATTCAACCAGTTTCTGTCCACAAAGCAGGATTCGTCTGAATGTGATACTCACAAAATGTATAAGATCTGCCCTTCGCTCCAAATAAAGAAATCATTTCCTAGTAATTAAGTCGAAGAATATAAGGGAAGTGAAAGGGAAATATGTAAGCATATAAGGGAAATATAAGAAAATGAGATATTTGTAGTTTTTTTTATGGGTTTTTTCCCAGTGATCGAAAAACCCATCACAACAATTTCCAGCTATAAAAACAAGAGTAATTATATTATCATACTAAAAGTATTTAATTTCTATGGTGTAGTGTTTATGAAACACATTTCTTTTAAAGGGAGAATATCACTCTGGTCAAAAAAGGGAAAATAAAATACAAATCTGGTACTTCAACGTCACTCAGCGCCTCCCTGATGGCAGCCTCCTTTTGGAAACTTCAGCTCTGCCACTAAAGTCTTCACACTCCCTGGTGGGATCGCCCTGCCACTGAGTATCTGTCTCCTCCGCCTTTGGAGTACTCGAGAGAAGACTGTTTCAGTTAAAGATACGTAAGAGAAACAATATGGATCTTTCTTTGGATGCTCATCGTGCCTAATGTAGAACATAAAGGGGTTTGGAGAGAGACAAGGCTGTCTCTTGGCTTAGGAGACAATTCCTTCTATAGGGCACTGAAAATCACTTTGTCTCTGTTTTCGACCAAACAAAACGAATCCAGCAAATATCGTTGTTCAGTGGGGAAGGGGTGGGGAGGCTACATGGAATTATGCTACTGAAAATGATGCTTTCATCTCTGCAAGGAGATAATTAGAGGAAGTGATCTCAAACAGAAGGGAATATTTCTAGTTAAATATAAGGAAATCTGTATGAGCCAGTATGATTGATTTATCTTTGTTGATCACTGTAAATGCATGCTCATATTTGGAGACAGCTAAGAAATGATCTTAGCTAAAGGGCAGAAGCCACACATGGGGTCTGATCCACCTTTAAGACAAATCTCAATTTCAGAGACATTAAAATGCATAATAATGAACCGACAAATTAGCCAACGGTTATTGTAAGAAACCGATGACCCTGAGATTCACTCCAAATATGCTGAGATATTTTAAAATGGGCATTTAGAATCTGTGAAATATGACAGGCAGATTTCTCTGGCCCTCATCACGTTCTGCCATGAACCCTATCCTAAAGCCCATTGTTCCAGAGGACCCTGAGCCAGGGGTTAACCTTTCCAAAGAAGCCCCTCCACAGTTGTCAGATTGCCAGCTGTTTTCTGCGTTCCAGGTAACTACGGAGTTTGGGAAACCGCGGAGTTGCCTGCCAACGTCAAATCAGAGTCCCTCTGTGGTTCTCACCCAGTGGAGCTTCACTTTTCTATGGGAACTTACCTTCGTTTTACTTCATGAGTCAGTAACACCCAACCAACTTTAGAAAATGTTCATTGAGAAATCAGAACCCAAGTGGAATTTTGGTTTCGATCCTCTGAGACACTATAGAACTGTAAATCTCAGGTTTCTGCCCATAAGTAAGAAAGACAAGTCCTGTGGGAGGAGAACTCACCAGCAGCGGCCGCTCTCTGAACCCCTTCACTTCCCACTCCATCTAGGTGGCAACCCTTCTTCCTCAACTCACTGTCTTTGTGGGTTAATGCCTTCCCTCAGGAAATGGTCCCGTGTTCTGTTTAGATGACCCCCCACCCTGAATATTCTTCAGCCAGTAGCCAAGGGCTGTGAATGACTAATCAACATAAGAATCGATTGCCTTTGACAAAACTTTTCCCATCCTTAAGTTTGCTCTAAAGCAGAATGGAGCCACAGAACTACAAAAATAATATGTCAAACCAATGGACAATGGAAAGGTTGATGTCACTTATTAAAATAGTGTGGTGTTTGGAAGAAATCACTTTTTCCAAAGCATAAGT